GAAACACCAAATGCATATTGCAAAAGATCGAATGCAAACATACCGATGAAACATCGAATACAAATAGCTCGAAATGTCGAACATATTTGTAAACCATTGCTCACATATTTGAGAATATCGCAAATATATTGTAAAACACCACACACAATTGTATCGAAAAACATCGCACATTTAATGCAAAAAATCGAACATAATATTGAACACATCGCACATATATAAGGTCAAACATCGCACATATAAATTGAAAATCGCATATAAATGTAAAACATCGCATACATATATTGAACATCGCACATATATTGTAAAACATCGCACAAATATATTAAACATCGCGCACATAATGAAAAAATCGCACACTTATATTGAACATCGCACATAAATGTAAAAGATAACAAACACATATTGAACATCAAACATATATATTGTGAAACATTGAATTTTGCAACGTTTGACACGCCATAGATCAGTGGGCTGCGGGTGCTCGTTCCTTATACACTAACCATTGATCTCCATATACACAGACTGAGTATATCTATACTACAATTCAAGGAATCTCTGTCTGTCTGTCTGTCTGTCTGTCTGTCCGTCCGTCTGTCTGTCTGTCCGCCGATTATCTCCAGAACTGGGCACCGTATGGAGTTGAAAATCGGCGGGTGCATTGTTCGGGACAACAGAATGTGCAGTGCCGAGTTTGAAGTAGTTTGGACGAGGGGTTCTCGAAAAAGCTGCAAAAACAACAGTATTTTCTGAGACCTAGCGCGCCAGAATATAGCCTAGAACTCCGCGCACTGCCGTTCTTTTATATTGTTTACGTCATGTTAAAGCTAAAGCGCGCGTGCTCAATATGACGCAAACAATGCAAAAAGGACGAGCACGCGCACGTGCATTGTAGGGCGATACCATTGTCCAGTATGGGTGAATAGCACTGCGTACCATATGTTTCCGTACGTGATGACTGCACGGGCACATGCATTTTGCAGTCGATTGAACCACTATTGTAGGCGGTGGATTGAGCAACCTTACTCACGTAGGTGAGTAGCTGCACGGGCGTATTGGTGAATATCAGTGCCGGGGATGGCCTGGCGACAAGTACAAAGTGCGCTCAACCTATGAGTGTGAGTTTAACCTGTGAAAACAACACAATTGAATCGTGTGCGTTGTTTGCATGATATGAGCATTTTGAAATTGCCCCTAACGAACAGGTGCATTTTTTTGACGGGCCCTGCAAAAATGACGGGCACATTGTAGGGCGATAAGCACTGCACACCATGTCTTCGTACGTACATATACGTGAGTGGCATGCACGGGCACATGCATTTTGTACTCAACTGAGCAACCATCACTGCACTGTATGTGCCGGGGGGGGGGTGGTGACGACATTTTGTGAATTTAACTTGCGAGTGTGCGTTCACACCATTGAATAATGTGCGTTGTTTGCACGAGCTGCAGTTCGTTCTCAACTGCCCCTTCCGAACACGCACATTTTCGACTGGCCCTGCACTAGTCTATACTACAATTCAAGGAATCTCTGTCTGTCTGTCTGTCTGTCCGCCGATTATCTCCAGAACCGGGCACCGTATGAAGTTAAAAATCGGCGGGTGCATTGCTCGGGACAACAGAACGTGCAGTGCCAAGTTTGAAGTGGTTTGGAATAGGGGTTCTCGAAAAAGCTGCAAAAAAGCAGTATTTTCGGAGGCCTAGCGCGCTAGAATATAGCCTAGAACTCCGCGCACTGCCGTTCTTTTCAATTGTTTACGTCATGTTAAAGCAAGAGCGCGCGTGCTCAATATGACGGAAACAATGGAAAAAAGACACGGGCACGCGCACGTGCATTGTAGGGCGATACCATTGTCCAGTAAGGGTGAATAACACTGCGTACCATATGTTTCCGTACGTGATGACTGCACGGGCACTTGCATTTTAAGTCGATTGAACCACTATTGTAGGCGGTGGATTGAGCAACCTTACTCACGTAGGTGAGTAGCTGCACGGGCGTATTGGTGAATATCAGTGCCGGGGATGGCCTGGCGACATGTACAAAGTGCGCTCAACCTATGAGTGTGAGTTTAACCTGTGAAAACAACACAATTGAATCGTGTGCGTTGTTTGCATGATATGAGCATTTTGAAATTGCCCCTAACGAACAGGTGCTCTTTTTTTTGACGGGCCCTGCAAAAATGACGGGCACATTGTAGGGCGATAGCACTGCACACCATGTCTTCGTACGTTCATATACGTGAGTGGCATGCACGGGCACATGCATTTTGTACTCAACTGAGCAACCATCACTGCACTGTATGTGCCGGGGGGGGGGGGGGGTGACGACATTTTGTGAGTTTAACTTGCGAGTGTGCGTTCACACCATTGAATAATGTGCGTTGTTTGCACGAGCTGCAGTTCTCAACTGCCCCTTCCGAACACGCACATTTTCGACTGGAAATCGGCCGGTGTATTGCTCGGGACAACAGAATGTGCAGTGCCAAGTTTGAAGTGGTTTGGACCAGGGGTTCTCGAAAAAGCTGCAAAAAACAGTATTTTCGGAGGCAAACGTAGCAGCTTAGAACATAACTCCACGCGTACGCACTGCCGTTCTTTTCAATTGTTTACGTCATGTTAAAGCAAGAGCGCTTGCTCAATATGACGCAACAATGCAAAAAGGACGGGCACATCATGGGGTTCTTTTCAATTGTTTACGTCACTGTTCGAGCTTAAGCGCGCGTGCTCAATGTGACGCAAACAGTGCAAAAAGGACGGGCACATTGTAGGGCGATAGCACTGCACACCATGTCTTCGTACGTACATATACGTGAGTGGCATGCACGGGCACATGCATTTTGTAGCCAACTGAGCAACCATCACTGCACTGTATGTAGGCGGTCGACTGAGCAACTCTTATACAATATGGTATCGCCCTACAACTACGCCCTACAGTTGTAGGGCGATACCATTTTGTCCAGTAGGGGTAAATATCAGTGCCAGGGGGGTGCCGACATTTTGTGCGTTTAACTTTCGAGTGTGCGTTCACACCATACATTGAATAATGTGCGTTGTTTGAACGAGCAGCAGTTCTCAATTGCCCCATCCGAACACGCACATTTGCGACTGGCCCTGCACTAGTGGAGATCAATGACACTAACGCAATCGCGCAAGGCATGATGGGAGACAACATGGCGCAGCAATATCGTATCCACGGGGACGAGGTTGCCACGGGGAACGAGGTTGTGTTCGTTGCTCTATATGGCCACGTGATTATTCAGTCTCAGAATAGTTTTGCTTGACCGAACTACTTAAATGTTCTTAACACCAAATACTTTATTTTTGGGGCCTTCCATTAATAAATAGTAACGAAAATAATCCTTGTTTTACCGGCCGTGCCATGTTTTGTTCGTGAACGAGACGGTACCTCACCGGATTTACAAATGCGATACCGAAATTGAAATTCCTAGTTTCGGCGCACCGAATTTACAAATCCGTTGATTCCTAATATCGGTGCAACAACATCACGTTACGTGAATGAATTTCCATCCACTCATGTAGAAAAGAAATATAACAAAAAAATAACACTATTTTTATTACAAGGTTATTTTAAGTTTTTAAGATAGGAAGATGAACATAGCATAGATCGAAATAGTTAAGTACCGTAACACTTATCATGCTACCGGCCGTACGGGCGTCGGACGCTTCGCCCCATTTCCACGTCGCCCCATGTCACTTCGCCCCATCCCACTTCGCCCCATCCCACTTCGCCCCATCCCCACAACGCCCCATCTCCGCTTCGCCCCATCCCCACTTCGCCCCATCCCCGCTTCGCCCCATCCCCACTTCGCCCCATCCCCACTTCGCCCCATGTAGTATGAAAAAGCTGAAGGCTAGGGGTGCAGACCAAATAAACTGCCAAAGACCCCAGATAATAAATGCTCCCAATTCTAGAAATTTAGGAAAAATAAAAACTCTCTAATGAGGTGCTCGAGACACAGATGAGAGAAATGGCTCTATCCAATTCAGAGACGCCTCTCCTATATTGGCTTGTGAATAAAAAATGTGCGTAGGAACAACACATTGAGTTATTCGATGGTGTGACATTGTGTGGTTTATGTTCTTCAATTGAGACACATGAAAGGGGTCTCAAAAATTGGGTAGAAATAAGGAGAAATCAATGGAACTTTTGACCGTAGCCAAGTTTACCCAGGCAGTGGGGTGGGTTAGGTTTTACCTGAGGGCAATAGCAGAATGCATATTCGTCCCTTCTGGGACTCATCAGCCGCTGGATTCAAAAGAATCCGTAGGTATGGGTCAGTGAGTTAAAAAGAACTCACTGCCTTGAGGAAAATGTTCCGTCAAAATTTTGTCTGATACGTGACACTTACAACTTCATTGGGTTAGTATAGCCGGGTTGGGAACAAAGTTTGATCTTTTACTTCAAGTTTTTTTTCTCGGTAGGGGAGAGCCTATAGCTTGAGAGGTTGGTTATGAATTGTTCATTTGGTGATGGGCTAATTCTTTCCGTTGGTTAGCAATTAGTGAATCTGTTGAAATTGTTTTTTAAGCCAATAGACCGCTTGCAGACGCGTTCGATAATCGACGTGCGAAGGCGCGCGATGCCATGTTGTGGGACAGGCGTATATCTATCCACGCACATTTTGTCCCATAACATGGCGTCGCTCACCTTAGCGCGTCAATTATCGAACGCGTCTGCAAGCGGTCTATAAAATAGATGAGATTTTTTTTTTTACATGTAACGGCTGGGGCGAAGTGGAGATGGGGCGAAGTGGGGATGGGGCGAAGTGGGGATGGGGCGATGTGGGAATGGGGCGAAGTGGGGATGGGGCGAAGTGGTTAGGGGCGAAGTGACATGGGGCGACGTGGAAATGGGGCGAAGTGTCCGACATTCGGCCGTACAATACAGAGCTCCCGTGATTTTAATGAAATGCCAACCTCGTCCCCAGTGCTTTCTTTATTTCCAACCTGGTTTCCAATAGAGCAGGTAGTGGTGGGCGCGTACTGTTCAACACCATGGGGACTAGGCCAGGTTGATGAAATGCCTCCATTTTTGCATAATTCCATAGTGACATCGATCGCGCACATATATGAATTAATTACCTTGGCTGGCCAAGTCTAAAAAGCAAAGTCGTGAATCAACATCGCGATATCGAGTCGAGTCCGACCCAAAAACAAGCGTACCATAGAGCTCAGAGCTCAAGGAGGAGCTCGAGCAGCTAGCAGCTAGCATTTTTCATCATAACTACTATACTGTTGATTACTCTCCATTCATACAGTTTTGCCGTAAAGATTTCAGCGAAATCTCAGAAAATGGACATGATGGAAGAAAACATGATTAGGCATGATGTAGGCCTAAACGTTAGGCCAGATAAAAATGACGGGTGAGTAACTAAACATGCAAAAGTAGGCCTAACTAGCCTATTAGTATTACACTTTACACCAACTTCGCCCTAGCCCCATGGTGCCCATAATGTGGCCAATTTACTGGACTAGGCCTACCGCCGTAAATAAAGGCCACCCTTCCACCATGTACAAAAACATGTCGAACTTTGTCAAATTTTGATTTTCACATTTAGGCTTTGGTTTTTTTTCCCGCTTTACAAGCATAGGGCTAGCCCCATAAATCTTTATAGGCTAATCAGAAAGTGCTGCCTTTTTCAGATGTATATTTTTCGTGAAATTTCCAGATTCATTTTTACACGTTTGCGTATCAAAATTTCAACATTAAATTTCACAAAAATTAGACATCTGAAAAAGGCAGCACTTTCTGACTAGCCTATAAAGAGGGTGAGTATGCTTCTAAAGCAAAAAAATCCTACAAACTAACCCTAAATGTGAAAATCAAAATTTGGCAAAGTCGACACGATTTTTGTACATGTGGATGTGTGGCCTATGTTTACAGAGGCAGCCCAGTAAATAGGCCACATTTATGGGGCTAGCATAGGGCCTACTCATCCTCTAATAAATAGAAAGTGCTGCCTTTTTCAAATGTCTAATTTTCGTGAAATTTCATGTTGAAATGTTGATACGCAAACAAGTGCAAACGAATCTGGAAATTTCTCAAAAAATAGGCATCTGAAAAAGGCAGCCCTTCTGATAAGCCTGTAAAGAGTTAAACCCGTGAACGTGGCGTTGTATACAACGCCACGCGCTTCCGTCGGGTAAATACAAGCGACAGCATTCTATCTTTTGATCCACTACATATAACCATGTATAATTTTGCCCATAGGTATATCACTTACTTGTTGGGCCTCCTGTGAATTTCCGCGAGTGTTGGATCTGGCATTGCCAAGAAATTTGATGTAAAGTACGGCACAACTTTGTCACCACGAATGTTTTCAAAATGATCAGAAAATCAAAGACAGGCATGACACTGGTACCCCGAGTTCCGCATGCCCAAAACGGAAGTATCACCAGTGGGTACCCAACTAGTCCGAAAATTTGGGACTCTCAATACTGTGTATGAGAGTCCCAAAACTTAAGGTAACATGTAGCCTTGACCAAGGCTATCAGCTTGTTCCCATTATGAGCTTGTTCCCGCTACCGCACACCGCGCGCGCAGAAACACAGTGTTGTACATTTGTACTATACTATACCGTTAGCCCCAACGACCCTTGCGTGTGCTTTGTGTGCATGTACGTACGCCCCACACACACTTCCGCAAACAGCCGTACAGTAAGTCGAGGCGGAAGATAGCCTTGACGCAACCGTGTATGCTGAATATGATAATTAGTACGCGCTATGGTAAATAGTCTTCTCTCATTGGATAACGGAGCTGACAAAAAATGAATATTTATTAAATTGCATAATACGACCAAAGGGTTATAAACCAGACAGGCCTGTGGTAACAATAATTATTGTAAAACACCCCCTTAAAATCTTAAATAATAGTAGAATAATATTTATAAAGTTACACATAGTTTGGGTCGAAAATGAAATGAAAAGGATGAAAAATTAGACCTTCAAAAAACGGCAAATGGTACAAAACCGCACGCCGGCAAAAACGATGTCACCATGCACAGAGGCCACGTTGGGGCCGTCCACTGTAGGCACCGGCCCGGCTGGCGCCATGCAGTGAGACACGCTGCGCTTTCACGTTCAGCGGCAAAAAAAGCGCTCACACTATCTACCGCTGACTTTTGGGGGGGGGGGGCGTATTTCTCCTAAGCTGTCAAGGGGATATGGGAAAAAATATCTCTCCTTCAGCAAACTTCTTCTGTAAGACTGATTTTAACTTGTATGAACAACTCATAAGTTATATGTCGTATGTACCACTAATATCATCGACAGGGTACGACATAATTCGACCGGGTACGACTAATATCATCGACAGGGTACGACATATATGTCGACAGGGTATGACATATCAAACATATGACATAATGTCAACAGGTGCCGGTACGATATATATGTCGTGCATAAGTCGAGTCGACAGGGTACGATATATGTCGCATACGACAAAGTCGTATAAGTACGACTTAATATCTCGTGTGTACAAAATATGAATTGTAACTCGTATATTCGACTTGTTTGTCGATTATGTCGTACACAACATATCTTGTGAGAACGACTTGTATCTCGTGCGATTTACATCTACGACTTACATGTCGTACGTATGTCGTAGGTACGACATACGATTAATTCACACGTACGCGTTAAAATACATGTGTCATACGTATGAGATGTATGTTGCACATGGTACAAATTCTGGGAGACCATGTACCTGACAGTTTCGTATATTTCCATCCCAAAGTCAATAGGTCTTTTCTTGCAGTTAATTCATACGGGTGCTTATAGATACGAGTTAACCTGCATTCGATTAAATGGGTACGATTTGACCTGGGTCCGAGTTGACCTGTTCCCTACATTCGCTGTCAGAATAGCACGGGCAGGTAGCGGCGTGATAATGTACGCTGTTGCACCGACAAAACGTCGGCGGACTGTCTTGAACTGTCCAATTCGCAATACATTGGAAATAGTATCATTTTGAACAATTGTTCACTCATATATCGGCATATTTCATTTGTTTGTAATAAAACTGGAGAAATGGTTTTAAATGGGATTGAAATACCTGGACATACCATGGTTTGAGCATGGTTGAGTGAACATACATGTACGTGGTGCATGCAGTAATTTGCGGGATCATGAATATGTATGTCGCGGGTCAAAGTTTACAGGCTTTGATTGGATATCGTGTAATATATGCGCATCAGAAATTTTCGTCCGATTTCGGTCGAAACTATAAAGAAACACATAAGAATTCGCCATGGTTGCGTCAAGGCTATCTTCCGCCTCGACTTAATACTGTACGGCTGTTTGCGGAAGTGTGTGTGGGGCGTACATACATGCACACAAAGCACACGCAAGGGTCGTTGAGGCTAACGGTATAGTACAACTAGTGATTGTGTCGCGATGCGCGCGGTGTGCGGTAGCGGGAACAAGCTCGTATGGGAACAAGCTGATAGCCTTGGTCAAGGCTAGGTAACATGCAAAACAAGAAAATAGACTGGCACCTAAAACAACCAGTCCAACACAGCTTCAGTACTGCATCAATCAACCATGCCAAAAGAATTTAGGAAACACTTGGCATGAAGCAGGAACTAGTCTCGATTTACTACACATTTCTCCATAGTCAAACCACCAGACTATTGACACTGAATGAAGAGGTCAGTCTTTTCAAATAGTTGGACCATGGTTGGACATGTACCAGTCTAGTGTGTAGCCCCATTTTGAAATCACTTGACTTCACTCTCATGTGCAAACTATTGAAGAAAAGTCTCCTTTAAAAATTGAATTGAGTCTGCAAACTTGGTTGGTGATATACTGAGGACATTTTCTTTGCCCTAGTGGAATTTTTGGAGAAATTTGCTGGCTAAAGTGTGAGTAAAGTGGGCCTGTTTTATTTTTGCAAGTTTCAGAGCACTCCAGAGCCCTGTCTGGTACCCGACTAACCGTCTTACATGGCAGGATGACCGTAATACCATGTAAAATTCTGCTTAATCCACTTCGAAAGTCTGCCAAATCACCCAATTTATATTGCTGTTCCATTGTGCAAGGGTTTGTTTTAAGGGTAATCCTAGCCCAGGTGGACTCCCTTTCCTCCCTACGTAACGGAGGGAGTCCAGGGTATGAAGTGCTCAAAACCGAGCGAAAAAATTTATGACCAATATTTTCAATATTTTTACCTTGTTGGATAAGCCAATTTTTACGTCGTAGTATTCTATGTGTCCTTATCTATTGGGCCGCTGGGTTCAGGAATTCCATATGCGATGCTGACCGACCTTAATCAGGAAAATAAACTCTAAAGCAACGCTAAACTTGTACGTGTTTGTAGACTCTTTTCATCAGTTTCTCACCGCCGAGTCTATTCTAGAACGTCCGTGCAGCGTGTAGTCTGGTTCCCTAGACCTGACAATTATTGGGTGCTCATATCACGTCTGGTCTGCGAGCCAGACTATGCAGCGTGAATATGTAGTGCGCACGCGCAATTTGCTTAGTAACCATCCTCATACGCACGCGCACTTACTTGAAGGCGCGGTCGCTAATCCAATGACCGAGCGTGTTTTCGCGCCAGTTACCAGAAACATGTTTCGGCTTTGGTCATTGGTTGAGCGTTTTCGTGACGTCGGTTGGCTGGAGTGACGTCACTGTTCCAACCAAAACTAAACAAATGAGGGCGCTAGCGTGCGTGCGCGCTTTCGTGCGCACGTACATGACGTACGACTCAGGAATAAAACTGATGAAAGGAGACTACAAACACGTACAAGTTTAACGTTGCTTTAGAGTTTATTTTCCTGATTAATGTCGGTCAGCATCACATATGGAATTCCTGAACCCCTGGATCAATAGAGAAAGACATAGAAAATGTAGGCGTGAAATAAGCTTCTGTAACGAGGTAAAACGTAACAAAAATCTGGTCCAAATTTTGGGTGGTCTTATGTAGAGAATTCTCATCCTGGACGTTAGTCGTAATGCAATAGAGACTTCGTCCAACCTGGGCTAAGGGTAATCCTTAGCGGACACCTATTTTTTACAAGTTCTGTTCAAAACTGACTTTTGCAGATGACTGTCCAGTACCAAAGTGACTTTTGCGGGCTAAAGCAGTCTTTTTTCTTCATACAAACTCATGTTAGTTGTAATTTTGAAAGCACTTTCGAAGAAAATGTGACTTTCCTACCTTTTTTTCACAGTCAGACGTGCATGTTGTAGTTCTCACACGCGTGAAAGCCCTACATAAAGAAAGCCCGGTGCTGATTGGCTGCTAAAAAAGTTAATTAGTCTGGTTCCTAGACCAAAAGATTCTGACTACTCCTGAATCTTTTGGTCTGGGAACCAGACTAAAAATAAATAAGTTAGTCTGGTTCTCAGACCAAAAGATTCT